CGCCTCCCTCCCTCCCTCCCTCCCTCCCTCCGTGGTACTGGGGATTAAACCCAGGGCCTTCACACTGCACTGCATCCCCAGCACTTGCCTGCAGTTTTTATTCTGAGATGGGGCCTCATTGGATCATTGAGGCTGGGCCCCAGGCTGGGCTCCAACTTGCAGTCCTCCTGCCTCAGCCTCGCAGAGTGCGGGGATGGTATTTATTCAAGATGCAGCCTCATCGTATGCCGCACTTTGCTTTTCCTTTTGTCGTCCATTCAGGTTACTTCCTACATGAGCGGTCACTGTCTAACGGTAGACTCTTTCCTGTGAACCTTTGTTCAGTTTGTGCCACTGTTAGGGCACTTTGTCGTGTCCTTTCTTGTTCTGTGGATATGTTTTGCAAGAGAGACAAACCCCAGCTATTTCATATTATGTACAGGGCTTCACTTTTTTTGTCATCTTGAGATCCTTACCAACAGATATTTTTGGGTATTACTTTTATACAGCCTCCCTGTCCTGGGTATTGTAAGAGGGAGATGGGCTAGGGGCGTGTGTGTTAGAACCATGAAAGGATTCGCTCAGTACTTTAGAAATCAGCTGCGGGTATCCTTTGTTTGCTTCAGCTCACAATATCACAAGAGTTGTTTGTGAATAAATACCGAGATCAAAATAAGCTTGTATGACCATTACCAAACTTTGGATGATAACTGTGTGTGGTACTGAGGACTGGAACCAGGGCTTTCACACTGACCTACATCTCAGAGCTTGTTGAAAAATTTTTAATTTTGAGATAGGTCTCGCTAAGTCACTAAGTTGCCCAGGTTGGGCTCAAATTAGCAGTCCTCCTGCCTCAGCCTCCCAGAGTGCAGAGCTCAGAGGCCCATGGTGCCGGGCCTGGCCTGGTGCTGAGGTTGTGAAGCTGATGGTTCTAAACCACACGTGCGGGGAAGGTTGGGTCTGGCGGGGCACCCATGCCGACGTCCCGCCTGCGTGGCGGCAGTGGATCTGCCCAGGCCTTGCGGAACGGGTGCTGCCTTGGGGGGCAGCGGCTCTCTGGCCCGGCCTGGCCTACTCAGTGGTGCTTCCGGAGGCTGTGGGGATGTGAGCCTAGGTTTTGCTCTTGCGTGGCCAGGGGAGGCCGAGGGCTGTGGTTTTCTTTCCCGCTTGGCCAGCCCTGGTGTCTGCCGCCCGCCGGGGCCCTGCCCGAGCCTCCTGCCTGGCGTCCACCCGCCACGCTGTGCCTGCTCCCGTCTCGGGCCCTGTGCCTTGGCTGCACTCCAGCCGGAGAGGGACAGGGAGGATTCCCGCCTGCCTTGCCTTCTCTAGTCTCACCGACTGCTCTTAGCTTGGTCACAAGCTGATTCATTTGCTAGATTTCTCAAACAGCATTAATACATATTTTGCAAAAAAGCCTTTGCCGTCTGTGTTTTGATGTGACATACAATGAAGTCATTTTTTAATTCTCAAAAACACAGCTGAGATCTCCCCGTGCGGAGTGCATCTCCACCCGGGCCGCACGGCAGTGAGCCGCTCTCCCGACTCCCCATCCCCGAAAAGCGGTTCCTAGCCTGGGGGCGGCGACTCCCCCGCTGCGGGGCCTCCCTGTGCACCGAAGGCGCCGTCTCCCTCCTCCAGTGCAGTCGCCGGCTGTGGCCAGAGTGCAGGTGCCCCCGGAAGGGCCCACGTCCTCGGCATTCAGCCGCCCGGCTCCAGGGACAGCGGTGTCCCCAGAGCTGCGGTCCGGCGGCTCCCGCGGGTGTGGTGCAGGCTTCTCGCTTGCAGCCCCTCAGGCTCTGTTCTGCATTGCCCGTTGCTCTGCACTGCCAGGTAGTCGCTGGCCCACCAGGTGCGGGCAGTGCGGCCGATTTAGTTACAGAGAAGCCACTCGGGTGCCAGTCTTCGTGGGCTCTAAGGCTGTGCGGGTTTCCCTTCACGGGGGTCACCAGCCGTGGGAGGCTCTGGTGCCCGGGTGCATCCTCCCGAGTCTGACCTGTCACTTCCGCAGCCTCGGGCGCCTTTGCCGCCAGCTCCTGGGGGAGCGGAGCCTGGCCTCCCCAGCGGGAATGACCCCGGGCGAGACTCGGAGGGGAGGCTGGAGACAGAGGGCCGCTGCAGGGCCCCGGGCGGCGGCGGGTGTCCGCGCCTCCTCCTGGCCCCTCTGCACGGGCCGCGGTGTCCACTGGCGGTGTCTACTCGGGCCCTCTCACCGCCCAGACTGAGCTTCCAAGGGCGGCCCTGGGATCCGGGATCCGGGCTCAGGGCTCAGCGCTCAGCGCAGGGACGGCGGGTGGGGACAGCGTCCTGCTTCCAGCTGGTCCTACAGCTCCTCTTTGTCAGCTCTGCTCCTGAGTGCGCACGGTTTGGGCCCTGAGAGCCGTTTCTGGCCTGGTTCCTGATGCTCTCCTGTCATCTCCACGGCTGGCTTTCATGTCAGAAAAATGCTGGTTCTTAAAATGAGCTTGGATGTGTCCCCTTCTTCTGTTTTCTAAAGTAATTTATGTAGTTATCTGGTATCATTTCTTCTGTACACGTGTGGTAGGATCTACCAGAAACTATTCGAGGCTGCGTTTTTGTGAGAAAGTTCTTACTTTTGAATTGTTTTTATAAGTAGATGACTATTCTGACACTGTTTCTTCTTGAATTAATTTTGGCATTTTATGTAAGTTGTTTATGTTTTTTGGCCTAGAGGTTTTTTTAGCATTTTTTCCCCTCGTTTATGTCTGCGTGATCCATAGCGTGCCCCCCCGGGACGCGAGCTGTGGCCTCAGGAAGGCTGCTGTCTCCCTCCTGTGCAAAGCACAGCACCGTCCTCGCCGGGCCTGGTGGTACCGCCTGTAGGCCCAGCACTTGGGAGGCTGAGACAGGAGGATCGCCGTGAGCTCCAGACCAGCCTGGGATACATAGTGAGGCCCTGTCTCCGAAAACAAGAAGTAAACAACAGTGGCGCCCTCCTGGTGTCGCCCTTGGCGCTGCCCACCTGCACCACGTGGAGGGCGCGGAGCAGCTGCTGTCCTTGCGCAGGCGCACAGCTGACGCCGACGTGCCCTGCGCTGCTACAGGGGGCACAGCATCTGCGACGCTGCAGGCTGAGTCAGGACGCGCCTCTGCGCCCTTCCCTGGCTCCTGCCCCTCCGCCGTGCGGCATCCGCCTCGCCTCAGCCTGGCCCTGCCGGGCGGGCTCTGCCCAGCGCCTGCTCTCCAGCCTTGGATGGAGCTCTGACCTCCCGAGGAGGCCTCCGCCGGGCTGCCTGGAGGAGGAGGGCACCGCACCGGGGGCCTTGCTCAGTGGGGGCGGGGCGAGGACCGGGGTTTCCGGCTGTGCCGTGGGGTGCAGCCGGCACCCCAGGTGCCCTAGTGTCACTGAGAACAGGGGGCGGGATCCCTGGGCCTGGGGCAGCGCCTGTCCGCGGGTGACCTGGGCACCGCGTGGGCCACCGCCCCCCTGTGCGCCCGGGGGCTGCCTCGGAAGGAGGGGGGATCGCCATTAAACCACCCACCCGAGACACCCGGGCTAATCTGTGATCATTAATTTACACAGCAAGCCCTTACTGAGCTCCTGCTGTTCACTGGGCCTCCGGGCTGGGGCAGGATCTAAGTCACCGCCCCCGTGCGGCCACAGGGGCAGGAGAGGGCGAGGGCCAGGTGCCGCCCTGTACAGCCCAGGAGCTGTGGAGGCTGAAAAAGGACTGTGTGCAGCAGTCTTCCCTTAGGGAGGGTAAGTGCAGGTATTTCAGCTAAAATGCCTCCATTTTCATTTAAGGAAAGGAAAGAAAGAGAACAAAAAATCAATAAAGAAATGGAGGAAAAAGCAGCAAAGGAACTGGAGAAAGAACATTTGCAAGAAAAAGCAAAAGAAAAATATCAAGAATGGTTAAAGAAGAAGAATGCTGAAGAGTGCGAGAAGAAGAAGAAAGAAAAGGTACTTTCATGGAGGTGGCGGGCTGGAGCTCACGGCTTTGGCGTCTGTGCCTGCCGGCTGTGTTCTGGAAATAAGGTGTGATTAGAAAACTGGCACTGCCTCAGCCCGAGATCAGTAGATGAAGCTATGACGGTAGGTTTAAGCTTCAAAATGAATAAGAGCCTGTGGTTTCCTTAGGTTGAGAAATGTTAATAAACTCATTGATATTTTTAAGTCAGATTCAGCATTTTTGTTAATTGCTTTTATTTTGGATGCATTTTTATGCGGTGCTGCCGCAGCCGTTTTATTTCAGTGTGACTCACCCCACCCGCTGCGTACAGCAGCTTGTCCCCTCCTCTTTGGATTGACACATCCCTGTCCCTGTGTTCAGAGGGGGGCGTCGTAGGGTCACACCCCGACTTGTGTTCGCTTTTGCCCTCAAACTGCAGAAATTTAACTCAGTTTGCCGCCCAGAGCCACCAGCGCGGGAGCAGTGGGGGTGTTGGGAGATTGGAGTGGGATCCTTAGTTACAGAACTTGCCTGGAAATTCTTGGCCTTGTCATTTTAAGGAAAAAGAAAAGCAACGGCAAGCTGAATTACAGGAGAAAAGGGAAATAGCCGAGAGAAAGTTTAAGGAATGGTTGGAAAATGCAAAAAACAAGCCCCGCTGCACTGCAAAGAGCTACGGCTTCGCCAATGGGAGGCTCACAGGTGGGTCTGCAGGGGCAGGTGTTACACCTGCTGTTTCCTTTTGACGGAAGTGGAAACGGGAGGAATTGTTTATCAAATGACTCTTTTCTGGACAATTGAAAGGTAGGTAGTATGTTGCTGAGGAGGTACTGTAAACCTGCCAATTTCTGTAAGTTATATGTGTATATTTCTTAAAGAAAATTCGAGCCAAATGTGGTTTCTAACCCTAGGGCTGGGGCCGGGCCACACTCCGGCTGTGTGACTGTCTTGCTGTGCGGCGCGGCCCCCGGGAGGGAGGGTGCCCATCTCGGGGGACAGCCCGGCCCAGGCTCACCCATTGTGGGGACAGCAGCGCCTGCACCCCTTGGCTGTGCCTCTGATTGGCGTACAGGGTCTGGGAAGTATGCCACCCTGATGGTGAGATAGTCCAGCTATCAGCAGGGACGGTCCGATGGGCCACAAGGCGGCTGCTGAACCATGGAGTGTTGCACTAATCTTCCTTTGCTTTGGGCTCGAGTGTAATTCTGCCGTCCAGCATTCTTGTGTGTGAAGGGTATTCCCTCTCCGCTCAGGTCTTCATTATCTATGCTCGTGTCATTGTTACGCATTATGAAATAAAGACATTTGTGTGCCTTGGTGACAGAGGACTGACGCTAACTCACAAAACCATGGTCCTGCTTGGCTGTCACTCGTCCCCGCCACCGAGCTTTGAGCCCGGCAGACGTGTCAGTAAGGAGTGTGCGTGTGTGGCAGCCAGAGCCACGGGAACTGGAATCTCACTGGTTCAAGTGTCGTGAGCACACCGCCGTGGTTCCAAACGGTCTCCATTCATTTTAGCTACAGCTGCAAAGTAAAGCTTTCCGTGAGCCTTAGAGTCAGACAAGGGGACCCATCACAAGCAGCTATCCCCTCCCTGGCTGAGGTTACAAACGAAGGGTCTGCTCAGCTGCGGACTTCTAAGATCAGTTCCACAGCATGGCTTTTGTGGGCATTCTAATTTATATCGGCTTCATTATTATTATTTGGATTCTTAGAATGATCATGAATCTTTTAATATCCACTGTAGTATTTAGTATATTTGAAAAGTACCACTTCTTTGAAAACATTCAGAATTTCAGGTTTTAAATGAGTCAGGTTTGGTTTATCAGTGATATTTTGCCTTTTTGACATTTAACCTTTTTCCTAGGAATTTTAAAACAAGTGATTTCTTTGACCTCAGGAAGTGTTTTTCTTTTGTCGTTGTGACTTTTTAATGATTGTAGGTTTTTACAGTGGAAATTCCTACCCGGAGCCAGCCTTTTATAACCCCATTCCCTGGAAGCCGATCCTTGCGCCCCCGCCCCAGGAAGCCTGGGGCCTCTCCGGGAGGAAGAGCCGGAGGCCGGCGTCGTCATCCTTGTCCGCACGGGCAGCTCGTGGGGCCACGAGCAGCCTTTGCCTCGGGACTGCGTGCAGAGCCCAGAGATAGCGGCATGGACTGGACGCCTGCCCCCCGAGCTCCTGGGTTCTGCACGGGAAGTCATCCCGCCCTTTTCACTGGCATGCGGCATCCCCAAGTGACCCGAGGAGGACTTTTCTTCATCTGGGCTCTCATCAGCCTTAGGGCTACCCTGCAGGCGCGTTCCCAACACCTAGCACCTGTGCCTCCGTTTGCCTTGTACTGAGTCTGCGCGGTAATGTCAGTAAAACAAGCTTCCTGTGTTCTCTCATAGTGTGTTATGTCTGTTCTCGAACATAATTAGATTAAGAGTAACTTGTTCCAACAAGCATTTCTAAACTACGTGATTATCTACATGGGTTGGAAATCCGGACTAATCAAAACCAGTCTTTGTTGATGCTTTTGGTATATTTTTCCATGTAGATTCTCTTAGTTTTGAAATAATGAGCCGAAAGCTGCCTGTGACGCAGCAGTAAGGTTGAGGCTTCCAGGGGAAATTGCCTTGGACCTTAGATGGATGCGGTGGAACCTCGACTCCCTGTTTTACTGTGCTGCACTTTGTAAAAATTCTCAGATAGTAATTCGTCTCCTGGCTTTGAAGTTAGAATCACCAGTACGATATCCCTAGGATTAAAAATGTTAAATGTCAGGCTTCATTTTCTGGAAGTGGAATCAGATCTTATTAATATGTACCTTTTAAGGGTAGTAACTGAGATGAGTACTAACATAGCAGTCTGCTTTTTTGTTGAATTTTAAGTCTATACCAGTTTTGGAAAAGTTCGTCTGTTGTAGGTACTGACCAAGAAATGAAGATTTGCTCATTTAAAAGTGACTCTTGCCAGGCGCGGCGGTGCAGGCCTGTCATGGAGGCTGAGGCAGGGGGGTCACCTCGAATTCGAGGCTAGCCTGGGCTACATGGTGAGACCCCTTCTCAAGAGAGGTAGATCAAGTGATTCCGCGCAGCAGACACCCCGAGCTTTTGCTGCCCAGTCCTGTGGGATCCGGGAGGTGGGAGCAGCGGTGCTGGGGACCAGGAGGGAAACAGGCAGCCTCACTTCCGCTTCCGGGCTCGGGAGTGCAAACCCAGGGAGGCGGAGGCGGAGGCGGAGGCGGAGGCGGAGGCGGGGCCGGGGCGGGGCTCTGGGTGTGGTGCTGGCTCCCACCTCCGGGGAGAGGGGAGAGTCGAGGGTTCTCCGGGCCTCAGACCCTGCCAGACCCCAGTGCTCGCGGCTTCACTTTTGCCTGCAGAGAGCAGAATCAGCAGCTAGCAGCGGTCTTCTTTAAGTATCTATAAACGCAGCATGCACGCATGTAGAATTTCTGGGAGTTGGGTACAGTTCTGGACAAGGGCGTTTCTGCCTCCCAGGGAGGACATGTCTAGTACAACCACAATGGGGAGACTTTGCAGGCATGGAGTCATAAACCCTTCCTGTCTCCCCGAGTCGAGTGGCGGAGCTTTATTCAGACGGGACCCGGAGCCTCGGCCAGGTTCTCAGCAGAGCATTCGTGAGATCTGCTTTGGACTTTGGCAAAGAGGAAATCAGCCCGTGGGGGGCCTGTGATCCCAGCACTTGGGAGGCTGAGGCAGGAGGATTGCCAGGAGTTCGAAGCCAGCCTGGACTCCATAGCAAGGCCCTGTCTCAGACAAACAAAATATGTCTTTGGAATCCTATGTATTCTAAATTTTGAGAACCACTAGGATTGTTTAAGAAATTATGTGTTAATTTGGAATGATTCAGGTAATTGGAATTTCAGCTTCAGTTTTATAGTGGAAAATAAACAATGAAAGTATATATTTGATGAATAGTAATATCAACTTGATGTTGAAAATTTTTTAATTTAGGGTTAGTTTACAATTACTGCTGTTATATAAAATGGCACGGATGGGCCGGGGATTTAGCTCAGTGGTTTTGCCGCCGGCCTCGAAAGCACAAGGACCTGAGTTTGATCCCCGGTCCAAATAAATAAATAAATAAATAAATAAATAAATAAATTTAAAAAATGGCATGGAATTAAAATACCCTAATTTTCACAAATCCCAATGAGCCTACAGCGTACTGAGAGAAAACAAGAAAATCATTGAAAACCAACAGTGTATATGATTAACATATAGGTTATTCCTCAGGCCGTAGATATTAGATAACGAAATGCTAGTCATGCTACTTTCTCTTGCAAAAACTGAAGCTGTGCTTTAAAGAAATTACTGACTGCAGCCAGGACTGGTGATGCATGCCTGTAAGTCTAGCATTCAGGAGGCTGAGGCAAGATGATTGCCCTGAGTTCCAGGCCATCTTGGGCTACGTGGTTTAAAGCTGGTCTGAACTACGTAGTGAGATCCTGTCTCAGAACAACAGCAAAAAGTGACTGGCCAGTCCACTCCCAAGTTAGTGCTTACTGATGCTAAATGGAACCTTACCGCTGTTACACAGAGGTTCTGGCAGGGTGGAATCCCTTTGGGCCCGGGTGGGACTGAGGAAGGGCCCACTGCCCCGTCCCAGGGCCGGAGTGCTGATCAGTAACTCAGCAGCCACCAAAGCAAGGGCGACAGGGAGGGCCCAGCTCAGCTCCCGGCAGGCGCCGGAGCGGGCGCTGGCCTTTGGGTGACAGCGAGCGGGATTCCCGGCCGGGCTCCCTCTGCGGGCACCGTGCCCGGCCTCCTGGCTGGACACCGGCCACGCGGGCCCCGTCACCATCTCGGAGGTGCTCCTGGTGGGAGGGCAGCTGCGATCAGGATGGGGCTGAGCAGGGGTGGCCACGGCAGCCTGGGGGTGACCAAGGCCATGACTGAGCAGACCAAGTTAAACCCGGGCCCAGCCATCACCCGGGCGCAGGGGGACCTGCGATGGCACCAGCGACAGGAGTCCTGCTGCAGGCCTGTGTCCCGACGGGCAGGCGCCGGGAGGCTTCAGGGAGGCTGTTCCGGGCCAGAGGAGCGGCCGGCCCGGCCTGCTCTGTGAAGCCCGTCCAGGTGGGGAGAGCCTCCTCGGCTCATCCCGGCTCCACGAGTGTCACCAGGACCCCAGGCCCTCGCGGCTCAGATGTCAGGACCAAAAGGGAAGCAAGGGTTCTGGGTGGGAAACAGAAAGCAAAGAGAAAGAGAAACAGGAGCGATGGCGCCACGTGGGGTCAGCAGTGCTTGGAGGGAAGGCCCGAGGACGCTCCGTGCCCGGGCGGAGTGCGCAGTTCTGCCCCGTGGTGGTTGTTGTTGTTACTACTACTACTGCTACTGCCGTCCTGCATATGTCGGGTGCACATTCACCTTAGGGGTCTACCAAATTGTTTTTTTGGTACCAGGGATCGAACGCAGGGCCTTATGCTTTCGAGGCTGGCGCAGCGCCACTGAGCTGCATCCCTGGCCCAGGGCTCTACCAATCTCGGCAGGACTTTTTAGAAAATGTTTGAAGATTGTTAGAAGTTGATTTTATTTGTGGTTTTTATTTTCAATCGCACGAATGCACGGCATCTATGGCGCTGTCCACCCATGTGCCGGGCTCGCAGGTGGGTCACGCCATCACCCTCCATCCCTTCTAGACCACAGCGTCTCTTTCAGATCCTGAATTTGGGCTCTTACTGTGCTCTAGCT